TCTGATCTCGAGCTTTGCTTTGAGTATAGGGATGAAGCAGGCCGATTCTCCGAGATTGCCAAGAACCTGTACATCCCGAAACTAGAAAGTATGACGCTTGGCTTGATCGATACCACCAAGGAAGATATCGCAATCTTACTGCTGTGTCATCACAGAACGCTCCGGAGGGTTGTTTTGGAGTCGATTCAGCTTGATGGGGACCTGGCAGCATGGCGCTGGCTGATTGAGGTTGTCTGGAGAAGCCTAGAGCTTGATGAGCTCTGTATTCTCTCAAGCTGGGCAGAGAAGAAAGATGAGGATTTTTCTTCTGCGAAATTAGAGGATATTACAATAGTGGATCATGATAGCTATAGTAAGGTTATTGGAGGATTAATATAGTATCATAATTGAGTTACCGCGTTGATATAGCTATAGGTAGCTATTTTAATTTATCTCTTTATCTACTTACGTTACTGTTTTTATTTTTCACCAGAAATTATGTACTTGTACCTTCCTTGGTAGTGGTTTTATCGGGACCTTCACAACTGTGTATTCCTTTCCCTCTACCAGACATAGTGCAAGCAACGGTATTTAGTAAATACTATTAGAGGGTAAGCAGTAGTAAGTCATTAATGGACTGTGAGCTGACGCGGTAGTGCAAACCGTTTTGGAGCATAACGGCAAAGTTCCAACTGTCATGCTAAAATATTATTAATCCGTTGGCCTTCATCTATGAATGTTGGCCAGTGCCAAATAAATTCCACGTTAAAAGAAAGCTACAGTTTGCGGGTATCAATCAGATTACCGATTCGCTAATCGTCCATACCCACTACGTAATCCAATGGCTCAAGATTCTCATCCACACAATAAGACAGACTCTGCTCTCCGTGATAGTGTTCTACTTACCCTGTAGTCATCGATCATCTCATTGATAAAGCTTAGCGAATCTTGGAACAGGGGCATTGTCTACGGAAACACGAGACTATCAATCTTTGAATTGACATGCACCTAGCACTGACTACCGCAAATTGTACGAGACCACATGTCCATTATCAATAGACGCCTAAATTATTTCGCCAAACTGTCATTTTCCCAATCGAATGGCACCTTCACTAACGCCATCAACCCACGAACATTCTTCGAAGCGCACTCCCTACCCGTTCTAGTACTGAGGTCGAACCACTTTGTGGCCGTAATCCTGAGTGACTGCGACGGTATAACCCTGAGTTTCAATTCCTCTATATAGCCAGCCTCCATATCGAACTGAAGAAAACACACATAGTTCCGTGTAGCGTTTATGATGGTCACACTAGTTATTCAGTCGCTAGATTGACGAAGGATAAATGTACACACCTTCCGTCCTGGAACTCATCCA